GGCTCGGTAAATAATTGAGCAGCTGGGCGAGTAGGTGAGTGTATGGGTGAGTGTGGGTGGGTATGTGGTTGGGTGAATGAGTGTGTGGGAAGGAGGTTAGGTGGGTAGTGGGTGGGTTATACATTGAGATACATTGAGTGAGTGCGTTAGTGACTGGGTGAGTGAGTGGGCAGGTGGGTGGGTGAGTGGGTGGGTTAGTGATTGAGTGGCTCGGTGAGTGAGTGCTGGGTCGGTGAGTGGGTGTGTAGGCGAGTGTGGGGTTGTTAGTGGGTGGGTGATTGATGGGGTGGGTGTGTAAGTGAGGAGATGGGTGGGTTGGTGAGTGCATGAGGGAGTAAGTGGGTGGTTGAGCGAGTGCATAAGTGAGTGGGTCAGTGAGTGGGTGTGTGGGTGTGTGTAGATTAGTTTGGTATGAGATTGAGTGGAATGCTGGGTGAGTGGTTGAGAAGATAGGTGGGCAAGTTAATGAGTGAGTGGGTGGGTGAGCGGAGGGGTGAGTGACGGGTTGGGTGAGTGAGTGAATGGGTGAGTGACGGCTGGGTGGGTAATTTAACATGGGAAGTTGAGTGGGTAAGTTAGCGTGTAAGTGAGTGGATGGTTGAGTCAGAGAGTGAGGCGCCAAGGTGGTGAGATGTTCACTATTTTGCCTAGTATACAGGAGGTGGTGGATTCGATCCCGACCCTGTCGCCTGTATATTTGGAGTTTGTAAGTTCTCACCCGTGGTCGCCTGGATTTTGTTCTAGATCCTCAGGGTTTTCCCTCTGCATTTAGAAGCAACATGCGTTTAGAGGATTTGGCTGCAATAAATGTATCTGTGATAAGCCACTCGTATATCTATCATTTGTAGCCTAGGTCTATTCTGAAAAGGATCTATATAGCTCAATGGGCCTTGCCTGGTGAAATAAAAAGTAAATTTCGGTTTAAAGCTTTCATGACTGCAAGGATTCATCTTCTTGGTTCTTTCGGTAAAGTCACGTAGAATGGGAATAAAATAAAAATAAAATAAGACAATAAAATTCTCACGACGTTTTGGCCACAACACAAGTGGCCTTCTTCAAGTGAAGAGACAGGTCTGTCCGGAAGACAGAGCTTGAATGAACGCTGACATGCAAGGACCGCGTCTATTAAGCTGTGTGGGCGGAGTTAAAATATGAATTTGCATGTTACCAGCATCACCTCCGGAGAGGAGGAGGGAGGGGGCTGGGAACACAGGCAGAGAGGAAACAAGAAAAGGGGCAAGTGCAACAGCCAAGGTGCGCTGTTGTGTCCTGAGTTGCCTTATGACTATGCTGTAAACTGGACTACTATATAATACAATATTATACCTTCCAATCTAAACTACATGGTATAACATCATATCATAGACAAATTCCACTTTTGAATTATACAATACGTTACTTTACACTACCCTATACTTTAGATTATAAACTATTAGACTTGTGATATTACACTGTCTTATTCTATGAACCCAACTATATACCACACTGATGTATATTCATTATGCAATTACGATGCTATATATTGCCTTATGAGTTATGTTAAACATTACAATGTTATACTATTAATTATTATACTACATGTTGTAAACCATACCATTGACCGTGGTGTGAGAAGTATTAAGAGGCAGTGCCAGCGAAAGGGCTGCGGTCTGAAAATCACCATAAAATACAATCAATTAAGAACCGAAATGGTTTAAAACATCTTTCCAATGGTTACTAAGCCAGAATCCATCTTCTCGGTTGAAATTGTCTCTGTGCTTGTATATGTGGATGGCCTCATGAACGAATCTCTCATGGTAGCCGGTTGGCTTGCAAAGAACCTCTGTCTTGGAGAAGTCAATGTCATGTGAGCCCACTGAATTATAACAGTGATCTGCCATGGCAGAGGAGTTCGTCCTACCGTGTTTCAAGTCTGCTTTATGTTCGCGGATGGGGTCCGATATATGTCGTATGGTTTCTCCAATGTAGCTGCTACCACAGAGGCACTTTAGTTTGTAAACGCCCGGGTACTGTATGTCTGGAACCACATCCTTTACAGATGGAACCAGATCACGGATTTTTTGTACTGTGTTGAATCGGACCTGGATCTTGTGTTTATTCAGGATTTTGTAGATATTTTTGTGACCCCCGCAATGTACAGTGAGGGAAAAAAAGTATTTGATCCTCTGCTGATTTTGTACGTTTGCCCACTGACAAAGAAATGATCAGTCTATAATTTTAATGGTCGGTTTATTTGTGGTGAAGGTTGTTTTGAAAACGAGCTATGTAGCTCATTGGGCCTCACCTGGTAAAATAAACATAATTTAGTGTGTAGGTGAGTGAGCGGTGTGTGAGTGAGTGCATACGTGTGTAGGTGAGTGGGCGGTGGGTGAGTGAGATATTGGGTTAGAGATATAGTAGTGGGTGGCTTGCTGAGTGGGTGAGTGGCTCGGTGGTTAAGTTAGGGTTGAGGTAGTGGGTGGTTTAATTAATAGGTGATTTAGTTTGTGAGTGGTTGAATTATTGGGTGGTTGACTGATGGGTGGGTGAATAATTCCGTGGTAATGGGTGAGTAGATGAGTGGGCGGGTGGTTGGGTGAGTGGGGGATTAGAAATTGAGTGGATTGCAGGGTAAGTGGATGTGTAAGTGGGGTGGGTAAGTAGGTGAGTGGCTGAGGGAGTGGGCAGCTGGTTGGGTGAGTGGGTGGGTTAGAAATTGAGTGGGTGGCAGGGTCAGTTGATGTGTAAGTACTGGGTGAGAAGGTGAGTGGCTCATTGAGTAAGTGAGTGGATGGGCGAGTAGGTGAGTGGATGGATGAGGGAGTGAGTGGGTGGGTGAATTAGTGGGTGGGTGAGTGGATGTTTGGGTGGGTGGATGAGTGAGTGAGTGTGGGTAGGTGGTTAGGTGGTTAGTGTGTGCGTTAGAAGTTGAGTGGGTTAGTACCTGAGTGAGTGAGTCGGCGGGTGGGTTGGTGAGTTCGTTGTTGGATGAGTGGGTGAGTATTAGTGGGTAGGTATGTAGGTGAGTGATTGACTGTATGGGTGGGTGAGTGAGTGAAGAGATGGGTAGGTGGGTTGGTTGGTGGGTGCGTGAGTGAGTGAGTAAGTGGGTGCGTGAGTGCATAAATGGCTAGGTGAGTGAGTTAGTGGGTATGAGATTGCGTGGGTGGTTGGGTGAGTGGTTGAGAATTAATTTTGATGAGTTAGTGGGTGGGTGAGTCGGTGAGTGAGTGGTTGGGTTAGCGTATGGGTAAGTGAGCAAGTGGTTGGGTGAGTGTGTGGGGTAGTGAGTGATTGAATAAGTGGGTGAGTGAGGGGCTGGGTGGTTGGCTTGGGTAGTGAGATTGTGGGTGGGTAAGTGAGTGGGTGAATGGGTGTATTGGTCGGTGAGTGTGTGAGTAAGTTAGTCGGCACGTGATTGAGCGGGTGGCTGGCTGAGTGCGGGAGAAGATGGGTGGGTGAGTTAGTGGGTAGGTGAGTTGGTGCGTGGTTGGGTGAGTGAGGGGGTGGTTGGGTGAATGGGGGAGTGACTGGTGGGTGGGTAAGTTAATGTGGGAGGTTGAGTGGGTGAGTTAGTGTGTAATTGGGTGAGTGGGTCAGAGAGAGGGGTGCCACTATGGTGAGATATTAACTACCTCACTGAGTATACAGGAAATCGTGTATTCGATTCTGACCCTGCTGCCTGTATATTATGAGTTTTAATGTTTTGCCTGTGGCCTCGTGGATTTTTCTCCGGGTCCTCCAGATTTATCCCTCCGCATTTAGAGTCAAGATTTGTTTAGAAGATTTGGCTGCACTAAATGTCAGCGTGATAAGCCACTTCGTTCACGTATCAGTTGTAACCAGATCACTTCTAAAATGTTTTATATAGCTCTGTAGGGCTTACCTGGTAAAATACAAAATAGTTTAGTTGTAGTTTATTGGATGGGTGATTGGGTAGGTGGGTAGTTCGGTGCGTGGGTGGGTTAGAGGTTGAGTAGGTGGCAGGATGAGTGGGTGGGTGAGTAGATAAGTGGCTGGTGAGCAGGTGGGTGGGTGAGTGCATGAGTTATAGATTAAGTGGGTGGATGGGTCAGTGTGTGATTTGGGGCATGAATAGGTGAGTGGGTGGGTTAGTGGAGTGTTGAGTGAGTGGGTCGTTGAGTTAGTGAGTGGGGGGTATGCAGGTGGGTTCGTAGGTAAGTGGTTAAGTGAGTGGCTGGGTGTGTTGATGAGTGAGTGGGTTTCGCGATTGAGTGGGTGCCAGGGTGATTGGGTTCATGAGTGCTTTGGCTGGGTGTTTGAGTGGGTGGGTGGGAGGCTGAGTCAGAGTGGAGCGCCAGGGTAGCAGAATGTTAACTCCCTCGCCATTTGTATAGGACATCGTGGGTTCGATCCCGATCGTGACGCCTGTATATTTGGAGTTTGCATGTTCTCCCTGTGGTTGCATGGATTTTTCTCTGGGACCTCAGAGTTTTTCATGCATATTTAGAAATATACATTTAGAGGCTTTGGCTGCTATAAATGTCCACGTGATAAGCCACTTCTTTGAGCTATCATTTGTTTGCCACGTCGTTTCCGACAAGGATCTGTATAGCTCAGTGGGCCTTACCTGGTGAATTTAAAATAATTCAATTGTAGTTGAACTATTTTAAGTGAATAGGTGGATGAGTGGGTCGGTGGGTTGGTGAGTAGCTGGTTTAGTAAGTGAGAGGTTGGATGAGTGGGTGGGTGGTTGAGTTGTTGGTTTAGAGATTCAGTACGTGGCAGGGTGAGTGAGTGGGTGGGTGGCTTTACGAGTGGGTGGGTGGGTGGATAAGTCAGAGAATGGGGCGCCATGGTGGCTAGGAGATGTTAACTACCTCGCCTGGTATATTGAACTTCGTAGGTTCGATCCCGACCTTGATGCCTGCTGTATATTTGAAGTTTGCATGTTTTCCCCGTGGTCGTGCAGGTTTTTCTCCAGTTTCTCCAGTTTTTCCCTGCACATTTAGAAACATGAGTATTTTGAGCATTTGGCTGCTATAAATTTCCATGTGATAAGCCACTTCGTTAGGCTATCATTTGTGGCCAGGTCGGTTCTGAAAAATAGCTCTGGTAAAATAAAAAATGGTTTCATTTATAGTCTACATAGGATTGACTTCCCAGGAAGTAACACTCATTGTATAAACCCCAGAAGAATATTGTTTTGAGTCACCCAAACCAGAATGTGAACTGATATATTCGTATTTTCAAGCGAGGTTCTCGGCCACAGACCACCTGGACAAATATGATGTAGTTTAGTTTGCATATGAATTATTACTTGGGGTTTGTTGACATGATAAAGTTAATGTTTTCTTTGACAGGTCTATTGTGTTGTACACTGACAGGGGCTCAGGCTTGTTGGGGCAGCATCTGGCTGAAATGCACCTTCACAACAGGAAGATTGGAGAGAGGCTTCACAAGGAAGAGAAAACTATCGGTATTGAATCATGAAAATGTAAAACATGTGGAAAACTAGGCCCACCGATCCAACCCTAGCATCATGTCAACTATGTATTATGTTGACATTCCTTCGCACTGAGAGTAGGCATGCTAATCGGATCTAATGAATATGTGTAAACAGGCGATTTGTGTGTAAACAAACACACATTTCATACAGCTGTTTATTAATCGTAAAAATCAAGCGATTGAGCTAGTGAATGAGATAGACACATGCTGTCATTATTTCATACATGAACACAACTAGCCAGCCAGCAGTCATGCTTTTCCACACCTAATCACATTCATCTCTTTGTTTTAGCCATCTTTGTGATGAAGGGAACTGTATTGTTCATGTGTGTGCAATGTACTTTTCAGAATATGAATTATGTTGGGTAATATATGAATTATGGCTATTAAAAGTATCTGTATTTAAGTCCATCAGGGCAAACTCTTCTGCAAAGGAGACTTAGAGCATTCAACATTGCGTCCCTTTATATTTTTGCTAATCGCAATATTTTTTGATTTAAAGCTTTCGTGACTGCAGGGATTCATATTCTTGGTTCTTTCGGTAAAGTCACGTGGAAGGGAAAATATAAAATAATATAAGTAAAACATTATATAATAAAATTTTCACGAAGTTTCAGCCACAACGCAAGCAGACGTCCTCAGATGAAGAAACAGAGCTGTCGGAAAGACAGCGTCTTAATGAACACTGGGCAGTGAACACTGGGCAGTGTTCATTAAGACGCTGTCTTTCCGACAGCTCTGTTTCTTCACCTGAGGACGGCTGCTTGCGTTGTGGCCGAAATGTCGTGAGAATTTTATTATATTATGTTTTATTTGTATTATTTCCCTTCTACGTGACTTTGCCGAAAGAACCAAGAATATAATCGCAATATGTTCAGGAGATAAATGTCAAGGTCTGCTAGCCAAAAGAAGGCTTTAGGAGAGAGTTCATGTAGTTTTGCTATTCATTCATTAAAGGGCAATAGAGTAAATGCTAAAATAAATGTTTTCAGCTAATTTTTTATATACGCTAGATTTACAAGTCTATAATGTACAGAAAATACCATGGTTGGCCAGACCATCGCTCGGCATCTGCATGTGGCTCCTGGGCAGTTCAAGTGTGGCTCTGCAGAGGCGCTGCTAATTTGTAACTCTTCAATTTAACTTTATATGAAGTGAGAACAATCTGGTATCGGAGGCAGGCCATGAGTACTCCCAGGGCACTGAGATTTCTAAACTCAAAATTCCACAGCCAGTCGACACGAGTCAACTTCTGTATGGCTAATCTTTATCTCTTGTGGCTCCCGCGGCCATCTGAAGATTATGGTATGCTGCTGGTAGGGTCAGGAAAGTTGGTCACCCTTGGTATATACTGTATATGCGTTGATGATTTTGTGCAATGTTCAGCTGCTCCGTCACGACAGGGGTCCCAGTCAGTTTGAGACTGCTAAATTAAGGTTCTCATGTGCTTTACAGATTTTGATAAAAATTTCAGTCTTGAATTTCTCCCAACAGGTATGGACCCTGGGCAGGAGGATGTAGAGTATGTGGGTTTCATACGGCTATATGCTGTGGTTACATCCCACATGTGATCTCCGCTTTAAAGTCATGAAACTGGTTGTAGCCCATTTAAATTTTAATATACCCGTTTAACACGTAGGCTTTCGCGGCCAATATCATCTGTAATATCGTTTTTTTTGGGTTAGATCGTTGAAATATAAATGTGTCGTTAAACCCGCCACCACCGACACAGCCAATTCGTAAGGTTTGTCACATAAACAGAACATTCCAATTCGTGAAGGGCTCACAAGTGACGTCATCACATCTATCCCTCCAAGGAATGAAACAGGAGGATTTCTCTACGAATTTGGCTGTCCACCTAATGATGATAGTTGTAATTACTGGCGAAACGTCATACTCAGATTGTAAATGTTGTGGATTTTCTCTCCAACACTTCGGTTTGCTGTACAAGTAGCGGATTGGCATGTTCCGTTTACGTGACAACCTTACTAATTGGCTGTTAGGTGGTGGTAGGTTTAACGGCTCATTTATTTTTATGCGATCTAACCCAGAAAAAAGCTATATTATAGATTTAATATACCCTTTTGTTGAAGGACAGCCTGGGTGACCAAAGTTTTATAGGAACGGCAATAATGTTTACTTGATTAAATTAGTTTTATCATGGAGCGGTGAAATCAGCTGTTGTTCAGATGTCAGTCTAATTAGTATTACATCGTAGAAATATGAGAGTCCTTTGTGTAATAGTCTATTAACCACTGATGATGGTAACATTGGTTTAAGGTTACATTTTAAGAAGAACTAGATTGGCGTACATTTTATCTTGTGTAAGTACACAAATTTATAAAACAATATATTTGATTAAAAAATGCATATATTTTCTTCAATTGCACACAGTTGTACCATTGATAACAGGGCACACAGTTACAACTGACATCACCAGATGTCACTCAAGTTCCCTCAGAGATCGATCTTGCATAACCAGTGTTCACATAATCAGTTATGTTTTCGCTAATTACCAATTACACTCAGCCGGGTTTGACAGACTTGTATGAATGTATGTTGAACTTCCTTTCCACCGTACATAGCCAACCGTGCTAAACGGAGGTGCGGGAATTAAGCGCAGAACCTATCGTTAGGATCAATGCTGTTGTAATTTTTTATGAGGATATCAATTGGTGGCTAAAATGAGATGTTCAAAGACTACAGCATGATAATCGGTACATAACATGAGTGTCGAATTATGTCTTAAGAATTACCCAGCCATTTGTACATAAAATTCAACGTTTCTGGGTGACATCTTAAGTCCGTGTTCTTCATTGCAAGGCCCGCGGGCCGGTGGCAGTCCCTGGTGTCCTTTTTACTGCGACCCCTGACGTGCAGTCCCGACAATACACACAAGTGAAAACACCCCATCATGCTGTCAAACCCCCCAATGGTTTCAAATGTGAGATGGCTCTTTCACTGATAATGTCTTATTCGCGAAAGTGGCCCCCCTCCGAAAATGAGTGAATATCACTGTTTTAGGTCAAGGATTGGCCAAATAAAGTAGGTATTATTTGCTTATGTTTTTAAATGTCTGTAATAAAACTATATTTATGCCACCAGCTGAATGAGTGGCAGGAGGACTGGGTGACGTTCTTCTCACGGCAGCGACTGCAGCTTCAGCTGGACATGATAGAGAAGGACTACGGTGAACGGGAAACCCGCGAGCTCTGGTCTCGGCTTCAGGTTCGTAAGCCGTTTCACTCTCGCCCTTAACCCTTTCCTGTTCCGAGACGACTGCTCATTTCAGGATGGGTCTCGTTCACCACCGAATCTCGGAACGCGCAAGCGGTTCAGCGGTAATTTTATTTAGAGAGGCATAGCGCCGTTGTTTTTAAAGACATTGTACTCGCCGCAGAGCACCGTAGCGACAGGACAGCACTCTATTATAGCTGGTACCAAACTGTGCTACACACCTTCCCGCACGGCCTTGTGGGATCCTCGGTACTAATAAAGTTATTTAATATTTACTTCCTATTACGTTCCGATGACGTACACGAGATTCAGCGGTGAACGGGACCCACCACGCAACTTGCAGTCATCTCGGAGCAGGAAAGAGTTAATACATGCAGCAGTGTAGCTCATCATGTGCACAGCCATATGGGAAACCCATTTGATCGCAGTGGGTTTTCGAGGTGACTTTAAAGGTAAAGTGGTGTTTCACACGCAGGCTTTCGCGACCAATATTATTCATGATAAAGTTTTTTTTGGCTTAGATCGCGTAAGTGTAAATGCGTCGTACACCCACATCCACCCAACACAGCCCATTAGTAATGTTTCTGACATGAACAGAACGTGCCATTTATGTTATTGCTCGGCACTCTGGTGTGTTAGAGAGGAAACGCAGAACATTTTCAAACGAGTACGACCTTTCGCTGGTGATTACACCCAGCATCATCAAGCAATTGCCAGAAGCGTTCTGGCTTCTGGCAATTGCCTGATTGCAATTGGAGTGGGTGTACGACGCATGTAAATTTATGCGATCTAACTCTAAAACAACGTTATCATGAATAAAGTGGTGTTGTTTTTTGCGTGGTGTGCAGCTTCGGTTGGGGGAATTTTTCCGGGACGTAGAGGTGGTTCCGGCACTGCTCCACGGTGACCTATGGACTGGGAACGCTGCAGAGATTAATGAAGGGCCCGTCATCTTTGACCCAGCCTCCTTCTATAGGCACTCGGAGTACGAGCTTGCCATCGCTGGGTAAGAAAAAAGCTACAAACAACCAAAACAATAGCAGCAACTGCCGTTCACTGCCCTGTCTGTGGCATGCAAGGTTCATTCGTATAACCTCAGTGTGGCAAGGGCTGGCTCATTAAATAAATAACAGAGACCAGGTAGAGTTGTGGTTGAGATCTCTACATGCTGAGGTCTCCACCCTCTCTATTTGCTAACTTACAAAGACTCATCCTTCCTTGCTAAGGCTTTTTGGGCAAATCCTGTTAAAGCTGATACGGTGCACAAAACAATAGTGGAACGATAAAACTCTTATTTATCCACGGCGCTTGAGGATGCTTGAATGTTCCAGAAACTCAGTTTGTCGAACAAGGAACCCCTGGTTCAGAGACAAGTTGCCACTGATGTGCTTTACCAGGAATCCAAGCTGAAGATAATTCATTACACGTCAAATGGAATTCAAACCCTCAGAGCTGGGATATGCTTCAGTGAACAAAAACACATTTGACATGATGTTTACTGAGCAGCCATTGGTGACTAAGTTGAGACCACAGCATTCCTGCCCTCAATTCGCAGGAACGTTTGTTGATAGATGGCTCACTGAATTTTGAACGGAGGACCTCAATGGCATTGGCTCGGTGCTCTGACATTGAAATTAACCTCGAGCCACTCAATTACCTGCATTACGTTGAATTTGTGAAAATGTTGTTCATTGTTATGTTGTTCGTGCTGGAACAGCAGCATTGTAAGATTTTGAATGTTTGGTGTTGTTTGGGTACAGGATGTTCCAGGAGCTTTAGCTCCACGCTTCACTCATCCTACCACGCTCTCATCCCAAAGTCACAAGGCTTCGGCAAGAAGCCAGAAGCTCTAGCAACTCTTCCACTACCTGAACCACTGGAATCACTTTGGGACAGGATACCGAGGGTCATCCATCTCCACCATGCGCAGTCTCCTCAAGTGAATGAACGGTGCAGGAAATCGTGGGCTATGGTGTATGACTATAAAAATTATTATCGGCCATGATATACATTGTTGAATAAAGGCCTTCCCTAAGCCACCACTCAATCTCACAAAACTAGTCCATTTAAATGCTGTGCAATGCCCTAGGCATTCCACGTGAGTGTGACCGGGGGTCCCTTTGTTCCACATCCTGGCCGTGATCTCCACTCGAAAACTGGGTCAGTTAATGTCCGAATCAGAATCTTTAATTAGGCTGGACGAATCTGATGAGCTATGAAGCTCTTTTTTTCACAGATGTCCAGTCGGGGCGAGTCAGAAAGTTACAACAACAAACAACAGTACAAACAGATAGGAGGGCAAAGTAAAGGAACGCGAAGCAAATTTTGACTTAACTTTCGTGACTGCAGGAATTCATATTCTTGGTTCTTTCGGTAAAGTCACGTAAATAGAAAACAACAAACAATAAAATAAAGACCGCTTGTGTTGCGATTGAAACGTCCTGGGTTTTTTGCTTTTATTATTTTCAATTTATTTTTTATTTGTTTATTTATTTATTTTTATTTAATTTGAATTTTATTTCTTGTTTTCTATTTACGTGACTTTATTTACGTGACTTTACCAAGAATATGAACGCTAAGCAAGTCATGAAATAAAAAATATATAAGAGTTCAAATTGCATTAGTGCATCAATTCCTGCCAAATTTTTTTTATCACCAAATGCTATTTTGGGCAATGCAGCATAACAAAAACAATCCCAGATGTTTGACTAGTACCAGTTACAGTGTATGTTTTTGTTGTTGTTTTGCTATGGGAGTAAACCCATGCAGAGAAAGGGACCAGAATTAGGAAAGCGAAGCCAGGCACTCCTTCAGAAGATGCCATGCACGGGCGTGACCACTGCACCACCCTGACGCCCAAACAAATGTAATTCAAATAATCTACAATACTGGCAAATAAACCCTATTAGTATCAACCGAATGTCTGGACAATCTGACCCCCTCTACACAAGCAACAGCTGAGAGTCAACGCTGTGATGTTGTGCGATTGGTGCAAGCGACCCATCGTTGTGTTTTAATGTTGAGCGGTTAAACTTGCACTGTTGTGGGGTGATGTCAAGGCCGATGGCTGCTTCCAGTGGTGTCAAGATGAGCGTTTTGAAGAGGCTCGCGAAGGATGATACTTGGCAGTTGGGTGCAGTCTCCCTCCATTAACAACAGAGGGCAGAGGAGCGACGCTCACAACAATTGGCTGAGCACTGGGCGGATACAACGCATAAAGTCGGCAGCAAGTTTATCTCGGGGAGTTGACCCGCACACGACAACTGGGTCTGTCCCGCGTGTTCACGCTATAACGCGGTTGCCTTCATTTAGGGAACGCGCACCGCCATAAGGCGACTTGTGAGCGGTCGACGCCGAACTACTTTCTTGAGCTGCGCGGTTGAGCGAGACGGTAACGCGGCAGCGTCCCCTCAAGTTATTTGTAACCCAATTCTGACTGCGCGTGGACATTCATTACGGGGGAAATAGTTTTCGCTTAGCGCGGCACTTTTCAGGAATGCATCTACTGCGTTAAACGAGGACCCGCCATACAGGTGCTGTGCACACTGTACTCGGAATCAAAATCCGAAGCGCTATCAAGCTCTCACTCACAGGTGTCCAGTAAGAGGCGGTGGGGGGGGTCACCAAGTGACACGCAGCTTGACCGTGGAGTAGACCGCGAGGACGCCAACGTCGCCTAGGCAACGTCGCCCCCCCCCCTCTGACTCTGCCTGCCTCGCTCTGTGCACGTGAGGTGCCAACCACGTGACGCGGGACACTGCGCGTGTTGCGTCACCGCTCACCGTGGGGGGCCTCTCCGCTACGTCCACATCGTACAGTCGCACATTCATTAATAGTCACACTCTTAATCATGTTTATGGTCATCGTCATTAAAGGTGAGTTTAATAATACTACTACACAATGTGTGCATTAATATATACGGCATGAATAAAACGCACCTGTAAATATCCTAAGTAAGTTTGACCTGACATTATTGCACAACAATTGCCCAGCCACCGTGGGATGTTTATCCTCCAATGTGTATCTGGCTCTGACCTGACTTATATAAAAGTGCAGCTCTGCAATTGCTTGGTCACACCACCGCTGGTGATTAGACCTTCATGAGAGCGAACTCTTTATGAGTATTTGGTCTACTTTTCCATATAACAATAGGTTTTACCCTTTCTGGCAATACAACAGGTGTCAAGATGTTAAAACACCAAACAGAATCCTTATTCAAGGAATCCTGTCTGCATTAACCACACGTACTTGTGGTGAACATTCTTTGAAACTGATTAGTCCACACCAGGAAGGTCCCATATTCTACTTTTCCACGTTGACCAGGATGTGTTGGAAGAGCCGGCTGAAAGCCACACTTTGCTGCATCACACACGACTTGCCGATCAGCTGTGGTGTACCCATTTAGCGACCTCTGGTCTGTGAGTTCAGTTTACTAACCATTAACAGCATGGCAGCTTTCTAATTGGCTTGTGTGACAATTCACCTGTGTCATTATCTCTTGCACAGCCTGAAATAAGTTTTGGCGTAAGGGAGGGAAATTATGACTCACCCACCTGCACCTGCCTTGTGCTCCCAGACACCTAAGGACCTTACTACCGCTGTGAGAAATTGACGGGCGTAGACTGCTGCATGGCGATGATGTATTCACGTCGTTCCTGCTGTTTTCCTCTTTTGCTAGGTGATGCAATTGGTGTGCCAACACCTCCAGATGCAGTTCCTGAAGGACCTGGGCATTCGGGACATGTTCGTTTTGCCTGTGATGAATGAGTTTGTCCGAACACACAGGGAAGTCAGCCTGTTCATCGAGGTGCGTTTCCCATGTTTATTTCACTCGATTGGTCGTCTGTTTGCAAGGTCATGCTGTGCCCAGAGGTCACCCACTGAGATTTTTTTTACCGTAACATTACCGTCACTTGGGTTTGGTGATCGATTAAACAGGGCAAAAATATTTGTAAGAAGCGTAAACATGGCAACGTGATCATTGTCAGACCACGGAGGACCTTCAGAATGCCGAGTATGATCTTTAAATTGATCCTGGACTCGTTCGGTGGATATTTGAACAATTTGAATATTGGGGCGATATTGTCTTGCTACGGGTCTGAGTGAGAAGTCTCCCAGCGGTTTTTTGAGTCCATAATCGAGATTTTTGGGTTAGAGCACGTAAACATGCACTCAATGATACACTAAATATGCACTATTTATATATACAGTGAGGGAAAAAAGTATTTGATACCCTGCTGATTTTGTACGTTTGCCCACTGACAAAGAAATTATCAGTCTAGAATTTTAATGGTAGGTTTATTTGAACAGTGAGAGACAATAACAACAAAACCCAGAAAAACGCATGTCAAAAATGTTATAAATTGATTTGCATTTTAATGAGGGGAACAAAGTATTTGACCCCTCTGCAAAACATGACTTAGTATTTGGTGGCAAAAACATTTGTTGGTAATCAGAGGTCAGACGTTTCTTGTAGTTGGCCACCAGGTTTGCACACATCTCAGGTGGGATTTTGTCCCACTTCTCTTTGCAGATCTTCTTCAAGTCATTAAGGTTTCGAGGCTGACGTTTGGCAACTCGAACCTTCAGCTCCCTCCACAGATTTTCTATGGGATTAAGGTCTGGAGACTGGCTAGGCCACGCCAGGACCATAATGGGCTTCTTCTTGAGCCACCCCTTTGTTGCCTTGGCCGTGTGTTTTGGGTCATTGTCATGCTGGAATACCCATCCATGACCGACCCATTTTCAATGCCCTGGCTGAGAGAAGGAGGTTCTCACCCAAGATTTGACGGTACATGGCTCTGTCCATCGTCCCTTTGATGCGGTGAAGTTGTCCTGTCCCCTTAGCAGAAAAACACCCCCAAAGCATTATGTTTCCACCTCCATGTTTGACGGTGGGGATGGTGTTCTTGGGGTCATAGGCAGCATTCCTCCTCCAAACACAGCGAGTTGAATCATTCAGATGTTCATTGGCAAACTTCAGACGGGCATGTATATGTGCTTTCTTGAGCAGGGGGGCCTTGCGGGCGTTGCAGGATTTCAGTCCTTCACGGCGTAGTGTGTTACCAATTGTTTTCTTGGTGACTGTGGTCCCAGCTGCCTTGAGCTCATTGACAAGATCCTCTCGTGTAGTTCTGGGCTGATTCCTCACCGTTCTCATGATCATTGCAACTCCGAGGTGAGATCTTGCATGGAGCCCCAGGCCGAGGGAGATTTACAGTTCTTTTGTGTTTCTTCCATTTGTGAATAATCAAACCAACTGTTGTCACCTTCTCACCAAGCTGCTTGGCAATGGTATTGTAGCCCATTCCAGCCTTGTGTAGGTCTACAATCTGGTTCCTGACTTCCTTGGAGAGCTCTTTGGTCTTGGCCATGGTGGAGAGTTTGGAATCTGATTGATTGCTTCTGTGGACAGGTGTCTTTTATACAGGTAACAAGCTGATATTAGGAGCACTCCCTTTAAGAGTGTGCTCCTAATCTCAGCTCGTTACCTGTATAAAAGACACCTGGGAGCCAGAAATCTCTGATTGAGAGGGGGTCAAATATATAACATTTTTGACATGCGTTTTTCTGGATTTTTGTTGTTTGTCTCACTGTTCAAAAAAACCTACCATTAAAATTATAGACTGATCATTTCTTTGTCAGTGGGCAAACGTACAAAATCAGCATGGGATCAAATACTTTTTTCCCCTCAATGTATGCTAAATTCTTCTGTTGATATGTAAATTCTGACTTTAACATAGCCACTTCCGTGACCAGTTACATGCCAATTCGTCACATTAACATTATGTTAATCTCCCAGTTACATGCTAATTTCTGACTTTAACATCATGCTAATCTCTCACATTAACATAGCTACTTCAATGCTAAATCTTTCTGTTGATATGTAAACTCCTTTGTCAAGGCGCTCCTGCTCCTCCCACCCAGCTTAAAATACGCTGCCAAGCTTAGCAGTGTTCATTGGAGCGCTGTCTTTCCGACAGCTCTGTTTCTTCACCTGAGGACGGCTGCTTGTGTTGTGGCCGAAACGTCGTGATAATTTTATTTAATAGTTTTTATTTTATTATTTTATTATTTCCCTTCTACGTGACTTTACCGAAAAAACCAAGAATATGAATCCCTGCAGTCACGAAAGCTTTAAATCGAAAATCAACACACGTGGTACGAAACAAGTATCAGTATGTTATAAGAATAATATAAACATGCAATATTCACGGCAATGGCAGTGTTGTTCAGCGTGCCCTGCTGTGGAAGCCAGCCACATGAGTTTGATAACCAGTCATGCCTAGTATCAGTGGAAAGCAAAATCTGAACTGGTTCAATGCTTTGCTGACCCAGACTGAGCAGTATGGAGTGCTAATAAGTTAACCGGATGATACATTATTATTTGGCAATGCTGCTGCTGCGTTGGCAGTGGTGCCCAAGAACAATTAACTAAAAAACTCAACACATTAGTCAGTAATGTTGTGGCCTCAATAGACACAACATTATATGCAACGTTTCGGGCCATGGTCCGTCTCCCATTTGTACAATGAAAAAGGGCCATTGCCCAAAAGTCTACATTTTTCCATATTTATTTAATTTTAAGGTCATTGTTATTGACGAACGTGTTGAGTTACCATGATAATTAAGAACAGATTTTGGTAAGAAAGGTCCTGTTACTATGATGAATGTATCCTCTAGACAAACATACAAATTCATCACAGGGTTGCCTAAAGCTTGCCAATAGAAAATAATGCCGATTAAGTTGTGGGCACCCGACATTCACTTGCCCTGCGGCCACTCCCTCAACGACACGAGTCGCATCGACTCAGGGTCCCGCGGGTAGTTCCATGACTCGGTGGTCCAGGAGAGTGGCACGAGCGATGCGGGCATCAGCTGGGCGCCACAAGGGCAGCCATGCTTCGAGTCACTCGCACAGCTCCCTGTTCAGCACGACGTGAACGCATTCCCAGCCTTCTGATCTATGTGGCTTTTCCGAATCAAGCAAATTGTCACTGATAATTTAGCACATTTGCTATGCTATTTAAAAAATATCTAGCGATTCATTTTATATAGCGTCGTTCATGATTATTGCATCTCAGAATTTCTGAGGAGCCAAAGACCAAGCTGGAATATTGCAAGGGAGGTGAGCCTGCACCAACAATTGCCCTGCATTTCTATATATGTTCAGATGTTGCCAGCCAATTAGTGAGTGTGTATATATGTGGAAGGAAACTGGAGCACACAGATAAGTCACTGCTGAGTGCATTAATCACCCTTTGTGAGATTTGACGCAGCATGTAATTAAAATATATTTCCAATTTGTCTTCGGGTGATTTTGTAGGTGTTTGTTTTAAGCAAGAGGAGAGTGGAGTTTTAATGCCATGTCCTGAATGGGCCTTCCATTACAAAGTCCTCATTCAGGATCCCAGTCCCACAACATTTCAAGCCTCCCTCTCAGTTCTACTGCTCTTTGCACTGAACATTTAAACCTACTTATTGGGCCTTCTGATATGCCCTCTTTGGTATCATGACATGCCATTTCCTATACTGGATCATTGTAATCATCGCTCCATCATGCCTCCTTGTCAGTCAGTAAACTTCTAACATTGGTGTCGTGTGTGTCTGTTGCAGGGATACTCTGGGGGGCCCTTTCTTTGCCAGGACTCAAACGGCCGCTGGTTGCTTTCTGGAATCACCAGCTGGGGTGTTGGCTGTGCACGGGCATACCAGCCAGGTGTCTAGCGCACAGTCGCCAAGTTCATGGACTGGATTCACCAGAACATGCAGTAGTCTCTTATACATTTCTGCACAAGCAGAATACTATAGATCAGGGATATAAATATTATGGGAACTATAACATCAAAATAATTAATTAAGGCAATAAATATATTTTTCTAAAACTGATTTAAAGTTAATGTTAAAAGGTTAATTTAATGAGCTGAATGCTATATTTTAACTGCACCATAATGCAAAAAAAATTCCAAGTGAACACAGATTTTGGGTCAAATCAGAAAAGTATTTTTTTTACATGCGTTGTCAATAGCGTTTTTATCTTTTGGGTTTGCCACACATGTCAACGGGCCTGGCAAAGCAAACATGAGCATGATGTTGGCATTGGCAGGAGATGAAGACAGAGCTTGCTATTTTTCAATGTTGCTTAATTCTTTCAAAACTGACACAATGGACAATGAATGCACTGTCTAAATATTTGGCCCAACCTGATTATACATGCTAGCAAAGTGAGTGTTGTCCAAACTACGTATGATACATTTATATTCTTGTTATATTTTGACCTGGGTCATCAACTCGCATCTCCCATACATTAATTGCCATGGATGTTGAGCAGTAGGGGTACTCAGAGGGGGTCTATTGGCCTTCTAGGGGACCACTGCAATGATCGGGGCATCCAGAAGGGATGATGAGTTCCACAGGGAGAACGTTCTTCAAGGTTGCCTTTAGAGTGTCCATGGCAAGGTTATTGGTGATTACCTTCACCTCCCCCGGTCAACACAGTCCATGAGTTTGTGAGTTTTGCTTTACTAACGACATGAAAACAAGACTGGTTTGCACAAGGAGCCTGCAAAAATTTTATTTAGAAAACCTCATGAAACTGTGATGCATGGCACTTATCTGAGACGCCCCTTATCTGAGACGCCCCTGTGTAAATGGCGTGATATCAAGACCATTATTATCATAGTGAACTACATGACGTGTGTAAGAAAACTATATAAACATCTATTGGAAACATTTCATGAAAATATGTACAAAAATGAACACTTTAATAGTGTTTCATGGTATTCCAAAAATTTAGACATATTGATTGGTTAAGATGGTTTACTCGTTGGGATGATAAATGGCAATGATCCTTCATCATGTAAAAGACTGTAAGCTGCTTTCAAAAATATATATTTTTTGAAGATCGTATTCACACTCTGCAACAGTCTATTTTCCACATCAAACCATAACGTGTCTGTCGACTGCAATTGAAAATTGATGCATGCTTAGTAGCGATCGGGTGAATAAACATTGCAATGTGTCACATGTTCGTGTCTGGGTGGCTTTTGCTTGAGATTAGGGATCTTGTGAAAAAAGTTATAAGACTTTATATGAAAACCCTCCACAGAGGCCGATTTTGACACTGTTGGTACAAGTCATCAGAAAGTCCAATTAGCTCCATCCACATCCTTCTGAACCGCATAATTCCATCTCTCTTCTAGCCTATGACACATCCATTTAGCCCCATCCAGCCAAACAAGCTGTATCATGGGACCTTTTTCCAGAATCAAAGTGTGAAAAATAATAAAAGGTTTTATCCTTTCTGGCAGTAAAGCAGGAAGTGGTGTTAAAATGTTCAAACAACCAATTAGAAACCTGTTGCAAGGAATCAAGTTACTGCATTAACCACACACGTGACTTGTGGTCAATATGCAAACAAACATGCTCTGATAATATTTGAATTGTCTTTGAAACTGATTGGCCTACACCAGAGACAGCCTTCTTTATGAACTAGTCTCACCACCAGTGTCAGATCAGAGATCGCCAAAAGGGGAACAGTGCAAAGGCAATGCCACACGTATCGGAGCATTTATAGCTAACCACTGCCCACAGCTCCCCAATCACTCGGTGTGCTCACCGCGGTGCCACCACTCCCCCCTCACAATGTGCAAACCACTACGCCACCAATCTCCACATTCTCACAGTGCGCTCACCGCTGCGCCACCGGTCCCCACTCACAGCTAGAATATGAATTAAATGTCCACAGTCATCGTTTTCTGATTTCCGAAATAATACGAGTTGCATTTCATTCAACATTGGGGAGGGGTCTGCCCTTCATTTAAGGCCCTGGCTGCTTACAGAATTGTCACAGACTGTTTTGCCTCAGCAGCTTTCCTCTTTTCTCCTGATGATGATCGAAACGTCGTAGTTTTTTGTTATTTTTAAAAATTATTTTCTCTCAACTTATCTACGTGACTACCGAAAGACCCAAAGAATATGATTTCATGGATGTTTATGAGGTCTGTTGCTGAGGGTTTCAAAGAAGTGGAGGCCTCTCTCAGTACATAAGAGTGAGGGGTTGTAGGTTTCGGCTTGGGTCATGGGTACGGGTTATTTTTTTGGCATATTTTAAACAAAAATCGAATTCCAATGTGGATATTGTGATGTTTGGATTATTGACGGTAGAATTAATATTATTGCGAATATTTCTTATATTCTCGTTTTATGGCACTGATTATTGATGTAAAAAATAGGTTCAAATTTAAACGGCATGCAAAGAAGGTTACAGTTAATTATGAAACAATTCGCAACTGTTGATTTATGTGTTGTAGTGTATGATTGTCTGCGCGACTCAATTTCTGAGGATCTCACATTTATTTCTATATTATTGTACATTTTACAGTAGTACTATAAAAATAAAATGAAAAAAATGTTAGATTTTCACCACAAAGAAGGCTACAATGGTTATGATAGTGATAATTAGATTTTCACCACAAACTAGGCTACAATGGTTATGATATTGTGATAATTAGATTTTCACCACAAACTAGGCTGCAATGGTTATGATAGTGATAATTAGATTTTCACCACAAACTAGGCTACAATGGTTATGATATTGTGATAATTAGATTTTCACCACAAACTAGGCTGCAATGGTTATGATAGTGATTAGATTTTCACCACAAACTAGGCTACAATGGTTATGATATTGTGATAATTAGATTTTCTGCCACCAAATTACAATTAGATTCGTTGCTTCGCATATTCCCTGATATTTTGTTTAGACCGCAAGCGTGTATCCATTTAAACTTTTGCTAGCTTGTTTATGTCATCTAGAATATGAATACAATTTTCACCATCGGTTTTTTTTTATTTCTGGGACAATTGTGCCCTAAATAATAGGAGTTGCATTACACTCAGATCCTGGCTGATGACGTAGTTGCCTCCAGTCTGTGATGTCAGTCATGTGGGTGGTACCTTTGACATCATGATGTCTATGACGTCATGCACCACGTGTCATTCATATTGGAAGAGCTGCGTTTATTGGTGGCTGTGTTTCTTGTCTCAGCTAAAATAAGCGTGATATTATTTAGCCTCGTGGTTATTAAAGCCTCCACTACTGTTGATGAAACTGAAATTAATCTCAGCAGTTGTCAGCCTGCACATCATTTAACCGGTGAGCCTGAAAGGGGTGGTTTAAGGATTGTTTGCGTGTTAATGGGGTTTATTATTGAGGCTTTCAAGGGTGTGGGGGTCTCACTCACTACATGAGCATGAGGGGTTTGGGGGTTTCGCTCAGCTTATGGTAACGTGTTGTAACAAATACGTTTAAATATATAATTTTAGCAAATGTTATTAGAAAATCAAACTGAAAGGGGTGGTTTAAGGATTGTTTGCGTGTTAATCGGGTTTATTATTGAAGCTTTCAAGGGTGTGGGGGTCTCACTCACTACATGAGCATGAGGGGTTTGGGGGTTTAGCTTAGCTTAAGGTAACGTGTTGTAACAAATACTTTTGAATATACAATTTTAGCATATGTTATCAGAAAATCAAACTGCAATGTCGTGGATATTGTCATTCTTGGATTCTTGACGGTAGAATTAATATTGATGTGGATATTTCTGACATTGTCGTTTTATGTGACTGATTATTGATGTAAAAATTAGTTTCAAATAGAAACGGCATGCAAAAAAGGTGAACATTAATCATTAAACAATTCCCAATTGTTAATTTGTGTTGCAGTGTATGATCATCTGCTTGACACAATTTATGATTTTCTCTTTTATTTCTATAATATTGTAAATGTTACAATAGTTTTTTTTCATAAGATGCCATTTTAAAAATATAATTTTACATTGTCACCTCAAACTAGACTCAAATATTCATAATATTGTGGTAATTGGATTGTCTGCCATCAAATTAAGACAATTAGATTCGTAACTTGGAATATCACTTCATATATTGCTGTTTCTAACATTGTTGAGACCGTAACCGTGTAACCTTTCAAAACGTTGATAACGAGCCTGTTTAAGTCATCTAGATTACGAATAAAATGTACACAATCATCATTTTCTTATTACTGGGACAATTGTGCCCGAAATAATCTGAGTTACATTACATTTAACATTAGGAAGGGGTCTGCTGTTCAGGTCAGATCCTGGCTGATGACGTAGTTGTCTCCAGTCTGTGATGTCACAGTCATGTGGGTGGTACCTTTGACATCATGATATCTATGACGTCATGCACCACGTGTCATTCATATTGGAAGAGCTGTGTTAATTGGTCGCTGTGTTTCTTGTCTCAGCTAAAATAAGCGTGAGATTATTTAGCCTCGTGGTTATTAAAGCCTCCACTATTGTTGATGAAACTGAAATTAATCTCAGCAGTTGTCAGCCTGCACATCATTTAACCGGTGAGCCTGAAAGGGGTGGTTTAAGGATTGTTTGCGTGTTAATGGGGTTTTCATTGAGGCTTTCAAGGGTGTGGGGGTCTCACTCACTACATGAGCATGAGGGGTTTGGGGGTTTAGCTCAGCTTATGGTAACGTGCTGTAACAAATACGTTTAAATATATAATTTTAGCAAATGTTATTATAAAATCAAACTACAATGTCGTGGATATTGTGATTTTTGGATTCTTGACGGTAGAATTAATATTGATGTAGATATTTCTTACATTGTTGTGAGAATTAGTTTCAAATAGAAACGGCATGCAAAAGAGGTGAACATTCATCATTAAACAATTCCCTAATTGTTAATTTACGTGTTGCAGTGTATGATCGTCTGCTTGACACAATTTATTATTTTCTCTCTTATTTCTATAATATTGTAAATGTTACAATAGTTTTTTCATAATAATGCAGATACTCCTGCATTTTGTCTTGTTATTCAACAATTATTTAATTGATGGAAAACATTGTTTGTAAAGCAAAATTATGTAAATGCATTTACAATTAAATAATGTGCAACTGGACGCGATTATTTCGCATTCTAGTTTTTAAAAGATGCACAACCGGTGATAAAAGTAAAGTTAATCTCGTCAGTTGTGAGCCTGGTCTTCATCACATCTGAAAAGTGAGCCCGACACGGGCGTTTGAAAAATGATCAGGGATCGTTGTTAATAATTAGGGGTGAAAAGTTGTGGTTATGGGCTACAGGCTGAGTTTTAGTGTTTGGGGATAGAGTTAAGGGTTAGAGTTCACAGTTATAATTAGAGGTTGGAGTTTGCCATACGGGCAAGTGTGATACATATTCTTAGTTTTTTCGGTAAAGTCACGTTGAAGGGAAACAACTAAATAACAAAATATATATAAAACAATAAAAAATTCTCACGACGTTTCGACCATAACTCAAACGGTCATCATCAGTTATGGTCGAAACGTCGTGAGAATTTTTTATTGTTTTATATATATTTTGTTATTTAGTTGTTTCCCTTCAACGTGACTTTACCGAAAAAACTAAGAATATGAATTACTGCAGTCACGAAAGCTTTAAATCAAAAGTGTGATACAGTTACGGTTTAGAACTTAGAGTTACGGTTGTGTATTAGGGTTTGTGTATTAAGGGTTAGTGTTCGGTATGACGGGTTAGGGTTGCCTATCAGGTGTTCGGGTTATGCTTGAGTAATAGTATTTTGATGTTTGGGCGAGGGATATTGCTCAGGTAATTCGATTGGTTGACCTCTGATTAGATTACCCGTTATGTTCCTAATTTCATCAGGTCTCAGAAGCTAAGCAGGGTCTAGCTTGGGGAGTGATTGGATGTCCTAGCATTGGGTGGCCACCACGTGCTATAAATGGTGTAATAGCCATTGTGAGCATTGGAGGGCAGTGCAGAAATATATTTTCTTTTGCAGTCTCCCCGACCTTCACCAACCCACACTGACCAGCGTTTTTAAGTATGGTTACATAACCCTCATCATCCATGAGGCATTGAGAGGCGTTTATCAACCAGTGGATTAATACAAATGGGTTCTACATGAACAGGGTTAAGTCTGACGATTATGTTCAATGGAATAGTGGATTGGAATAAACATGTGTGAGTGGGTGAGTGAATGAGTGAGTGAGCGGGTGCACAAGTGAGTGAGTTGGCGGTAAGCAAGTAAATGAAGGGGCTTGTAAATCAACATGCACAAGAGTGAGTGAACTGGTACTGTGAGTGGAAAATGGTAATTATTGAGAGGATGAGTGATTAAGTTGAGTTGATAAATTTGATCCTTGTTCTAACCCCTCCAGGCCACCACCATCAAACAGACACAACACCTACAACATGGACAGACAACTTAAGTGGGCTGATATCTTGGAGCACTATGAGAGTAAGTTACATATACCTACATAAAATAGTTTGTTAGAATCAGAATATTTATATATTCTGGAGAATTCTGATGAGCTATAAACTTACTTTTCACAAATTACTAGGAAATGCAGAGGAGAACTCCATAATAATGGCATTCAGCAGAACTGGCTTGGTGGGTAAGGGATTAGACACTGATCCAGCATGGCAGAGAACGTTTATTAAGCTCTGGGTTTCAGCAACCTATAATTAAACTAGGGTCTCAAGTTTATGGAATGAATGATCTCAACATGCTCACAAAAATATGACATGTAAAGTGTTAATGCCATGTGATGAATATTTCTCAATAGCAGGGCCTGTAGTGTGATAAGAGGTAACTAGAGGGATCTCAGAATGAGTTCTGTGAAATCTCCATGTGCTTCATTCTCTAACCCATCACTCATCCTTTGAATGAAATGTCTGTGCTCCGTAGTCCGGAAGTCGCAGCTCCAAACGACCACGTGGGGGGACATTATGGACAGAGTTGACCCTTTCCCGAACCAAGGTGACAAGAATTGCGACCAAAAGGTGTGTATGTGGTCGGTGAGGGTCAAGGACACCGTCTGTACACGATAGCACACCATGCCACCACACGATAAACTACAACATGACTACACATCACATCACCAAACCATCTCTCCACACCACCTTTCCCATCATACCACCCCATCATCCAGTCAATAACCCATCACAGAACCTCACCATGTGTCTACACCATCACACGACACGATCTCTCCATAACATTCCAACACATCACATCTAAATACCACCACATCATCTCCCGACATCACCCCATCTTGCCACCATGTCACGCCATATCCCACTCGTGCATGCACATAAATTGGCCTTTTTTTCAGGCAGTGACGCGACCTCTGTCTGTGAGCTCATTGGAAGGTGCTATTCCAGTTGCCCACGATGAGCGCTGCTGTTAGATTTTTCCAGATTATGGGCAGCTAGATCCTTACAATGGAACATTCTGTGGCACCTATTGCCCGTGATGAATGTTAATAACAATCGCCATTAAATTATCGCAGTTGATCAAGGCCTCAATGGGGTTCATGAGGTCTGTGGGGTCGATAGGTGTCTGTGGGAATATATGAGGGTGTAACATGTATCATTAGTTTGTAGGGTTTAGGCGAATTAGTGGTTAGGGATACATTAATGCTGTGTTCAAAAGTACTGATTGGTAAAGGTTTGTTTTAACATCGGGTGATTGTGTATATGTATGTGTGTGCTCAGCATATTTGGATGAGTCAATATACATGTTTGCCTCCATGCATAGGTGTGTGAGTATGCATTTGTGTATGGGTGGAAATGCATGTTTGCGTGCGTGTGGGTATTATTTTGTGCATGTGTGTGCATGTTTGAATGTTCCTGTGCTTATCGTTGCGCATATGCACGAATAGAAGCAGCTCAAGTGTAGGCGCCCCAAGAACCAGAGGAGCATTCGGGAGATGAATAACCTCGGCGAGGTGAAGCCTCTCGAGGAGGAGAAGCGCTTCACCAAATTGAAGCACCACTGCCTCCGGACCACGGCCACCAGCACCACCACCAGCACCACCACCAGCACCACCGCCAGCACCACCACCAGCACCACCGCCAGCACCACCACCAGCACCACCACCAGCACCACCACCAGCACCACCGCCACCTCCTCCGCTACCGCTACAACCACCACTACCACTCCTATACAGGGCCCAATCACACTGCACATTGGAGAAGATGTCTTTAGAGAAGGAGCCGCTGAGCCAGGGTAAGCAACTCTGCGTGTGTCCTGTGTGTATTTATTATGATTGTTTACGCAGGATAAGCATCAGTGAGTCTCAAGACCTTTTTTCAGCAGGGTCCTGCCAAGTTTTGTTAGTAATCGGGAACAAAATGACTGTTGTTTGCGATCCTAATTGAGTGATATGCATTGCTTATGTGGGTTCAGTTATGGGGAGAAAGCTGCAGAGCCCACCCAGAACAGGGGGAGAGAACAAACTCCACACAGAGAAAGTGGCCCAGTTGGGAATCGAACCTAGATCCCTCTAGTTATGAGGCAAAGATGTTCCAGCTCTGCCACCCGCACAAACACACAGACAATGCAAACCCCACATGTACATTCGGCGATAGAAATGTTCTCCATAATTGCTTTCTGGGTGAGACCACGTAACAATTCGGTAATATATTCACCATGTAACCCTACATCCACTATATTGTTGCCAGACTAATGCCCGTTTCCTGGCCAACTACCAAGTGTATTTTTACTGCACAAGGATAGCTGCCATTGGGAGGAGGGGGGTGCCCCCTTTCAAATGCATTAAGACGAGAAATGCAAGATGTGAGTGGCTCATCACGTGTAAAGCGCTCTGAGATGCCATCAAAGTCAAAGGGGGCAACTTAGTCGACCACGAATCACCATAGATATTTTTCCACAATCGTGCATGGGTGAAGCGGGCCAGCGATAGCGGGTTCATCACTCACTGCTTACAGTTCAGCTCTGGCGTCCTGCCCTGGGTATTAGTGCTGCTGCGTAAACCACAAAGACACGCACACCCTCTCCTTCATAGCACACGTTAAAAATCTCCCCTGATGTCATTGGAAATGAGTATGCCATTGTGTGCCAGGGATCAATTATAGTACACATATACAAATGTCACTGCAAGTTATTCGATTGGATTTACACAGCAATTCCAGCCACTACTGTGAAACTACAGCAGTCTGTGTTAGATTCAGCAGCACCTTTCTTCGTGCTAGCCTTGCATTGAGAGAATGACAGCTGCAATGCCAAGCGTACTCACTGATTGTGATGTTTTCTGTGGTTATTAAATTCGAATTAATCCGCCACACAGTCCACCTACAGATTGTAAGGAGACGACTGCGATGTCTGCCATAGCAAGAAGGTTGAACGGTGTCATGCGCGTCTCTTCACAGAGCGGAGTCAGCGCAGCAATCCTCGCAGGCCGTTGAAGAGAAGAGAGAGGTTGTGGAGAAGAAGATGAAAGAGGAAGTGAAGGAGGAGGTGAAAGAGGAAATGGAGAAGGTGGAGAGGGAGTTGGAGAAGACAAATGAGGAGATAGCGGTGGAGGACGAAGAGGACGACAAGGAGATGGAGGAGAAGATGGCTGTGGAGGAGGAAAAGGAGAAGATGGTGGTGGTGGTGGAAGAGATGGTGATGCAGGAGGTCGAAAAGACGGAGAAAGAGAAGACGGAGGAGACAGAGGAGGCGACGGGGAAGGAGACAGAGGAGGAGACAGAGGAGGAGACAGAGTGGCAGGAGGCGGTGGTAGTGCAGGAACGAAAGGGCCTGGCTCGTGTGGCGAACGCGATCCGTGCGCTCTTCCGCAGCATGATGCTGTTTGGTTGCGGCCGGTCGACCGCACAGTTGGGGTGATGGAGGTGCCACTGGGACCGCAGCCGGGGAAGGAAACTGAGCAGCAGATGCCAGGACTGTACTGGACACTGACTGCTGCCAACAGACTAACTCTGTTAAGAGTTAGCATCAATCCAATGCATTATGTAATAATTATCATTGTTGTTTTTATTATAAACTTTATGACATAAACCTATGAGGAAACAATGTAACTTTGCATTGCTTGTGAGCGCTGCCTGGGTTGGTTCAATGTGCCTTGGCTCGTGTGCAGTGTCCCGGCTGTGTGTGCGGCAGTACAATGACAACTATGTCATGAGAGAAGTTTCAGGCAATGGCCCTTCTTCAGAACGTGTACAAGCAGTGGTGGGAAAAGATCATCAGGCGATTCGTCTGACACATCCACCCCTTCACTGCCCCACTGCCCCTCTGCCAAGCTGCTTCCGCTGTCCTGCTGCCCCTCTGCCCACTGCCCCATTGCCTCACTGCCCCTCTGCTCCGCTGCCCCACTGCTTTGATGCCACTCTGCCCTAATGCCCCGCTGTTCCATTGCTCCACTTTCCCACTGCCATCACATCCATCACGAAGCAGCGAGACGTCCATACCACCTCATTAAATATTACCCTGATGTGCACGCAGAGAGAGAGACCCTCGTTTAGCATTGCATACTGGAGGGGGCTGCTGTGATGCAATGGCTCGTAAACTTCACTGGCAATAGAGAGATTGCTGGTTCCACCTTCTGGCACAGCAGTTGAAACAAATGGTCGAGTATCTGAAGTTCCCCTGCCTCTGTCCGCCAAACAGTACAACTGGGTACACCAAAATCGAGTGGCAAGTTGCGTGTGGTGGGTAAAAGTGTGGGTACTCCTTCCTCTTCAAAATCATCTGACGAGTATGGAAGAATAGACCAAAATATCGTTCAAACGCCTTTCTAGAGGTCTCTCTTGTGGAAATTCTTCCTGCCAGCAGAGGCATGAGAAAGCAATTGCAGGACTGCTCCACAATACCAATTGTGTTGGCAAAGTATTCCAATAATGCTGCGTTCTAAACAGGCTGCATATGTATTTAACATGGGGGGAGGTGTTGATTGTCTAGAGATGGTCCAGTGGCTCAGAGGTCAGAGCACTAAAATGGGGTTGAATCCAGGCATTCACCTACGATTAAAGCAGGTTCTCAAGTCTGGTGAATTAATGGTCTCAGCGCGGTTGCCATTGACTGCACATTATAAACCATCACATTACTGCTTGGGTGAGTGGGAAATTGAGTAAGTGGGTGGGTAGGTGGTGGATGAATGAGTGCATCGGTGTGTGGATATGTGGGTGAGTGGATGGGTAATTGGATCAGTTGGTGCCTGGTTGAGTGGATGGTTGGTGGTTGAATGGGTGGATGGGTAATTGAATGAGTGGGTTAGTGTGTAAATTGGTGGATGTGTGAATGTGTTAATGAGTAAGTGGATGGTTGAGTTGGTGAATTATTAGGTGGGTGGATGAGTGAGTGGGTGGGTCAGTGAGTTAGTTTGAATGAATCAGTGGTTGAGTGGCTAATTAAATGAATGGGGAGCTGAATACATGATTTGGTGCTTGGGTGGGTCAGTGGGTAATTGAGCGAGTGGGTGAATGAGTATAGGGGTGAGTGGATTTTTGAATGAGTGGTGGGTGAGTGGGGAGGTGATTGAGTGAGTGGGTGAGTTAGCTGGTGGGCAAGTGGGTGCGTGGGTGGGTGGGAGAGCGGGTGGGTGAGTTAGTAGGTGGGTGAGTGAGTGAGCGGGTCAGTGAGTGAGTGAGTGGGTGGCTGGGTGAGTGGGTGGTTGAATGGGTGGGTGGGTGAGTGGGTGGGTGAGTGAGTGGGTGAGTGGGTGGGTGAGTAGTTGAGTGGGTGGGTGAGTGGGTAATTGAGTGAGTGGGTGAATAAGTACGTGGGTAAGTGGTATTTGAATGATTGAGTGATTGGGTGAGTTGGTGAGTGTGTGTATGAGTGAGTGAGTGGGTGGGTGAGTGAGAGTGGGTGGGTGGGTGAGTCAGAGTGGATGGGTGAGTAGGTGGGTGGATGGGTGGGTGAGGGTGAGTGGGTGGGTGGGAGATTGAGTGAGTGGATGAGTGGGTGGGTGAGTGAGTGTGTCGATATGTGGTGAGTCTGTCCCTGGTGAGTGTCTCTGGTGAGTCTGAGAACCAGACACTGTTCTGACCATTCCGTCCCCTTCGAGCGCCTTGCTGGCCTTCATCGGGGCTCACTACCAACACGAGCTGCCCCAGATATGTATATAAGAATCAAAATCTGAATATGTAATCATACTGGAGGAATCCGATGAGCTATAAAGCTTTTTTCAGAGATGTCCAGTAGGGACGGCTTTGTACGTTACATCAACAAACAATACAAAAAAAACGATCGGAGTGCAAGGTATAGGAAATGTAAACAAATCACTAAAAAAAGAATAAACTAAGCAATTTTTAAAAATATTATCAGGTAAAGTCCAATGAGGTATTAGCTTATTTTTCAGAAGCCACTTGACCACAAATGATAACTCATGTCTGGGGGCAGCTATTGAAGGCTGAATTTCTTTCGCACCGTACATAGCCAACCGTGCTAATCGGAGGTGCCGGGGAAGGACACCAAAAGTATTAGGTTAGGGTCAGGGCTATAGGGTCAGGGCTATAGGGTCAGGGCTATAGGGTCAGGGCTATAGGGTCAGGGCTATAGGGTCAGGGCTATAGGGTCAGGGCTATAGGGTCAGGGCTATAGGGTTAGGGCTACAGGATGTAGGGGCACTGCAGGTTCTCCACAAGGCACGTGATGCCCTCTAGTGGACAAACGCATAACTACAGCTGCTGCTGCAGCTCAAGGAACAAGATATCCGAGCTGTACAGCCTCCACATCGCCACTTCTCCACGCACACAATGCGAGTGGTGCTACTCTGCCGCACAAGCTTCTAAGAGTGCATCTCATCATCAACATTAACTCAACACAAGCAGCACCCTGAAACAGGCTTCGTCTCTCAGTGTCTCATCAGCAGTCAGGCTCGCTTGAACTGGTGAACTGCCAGATGTTACCGAGAGAGAACCATTGTTAGACTCGCCTTTTGCCCGTCCAAGGACGGGTGTATTGCAGTAAATCTGAAATTTGCAAACGAAAAAGCAGACCACGACGTGATATTCATTGCATTAATGCGTGTGTCACCACGCCCTTACAAATTGCACAAACCGATGTTCTGTACTTTTGAGGCATAAGCAATTGGAAAACGACACTATCCAGGAACCTATTTTTTTTGTTACAGTGATATTAATGAGGGGAGCTGTTTAATGTGGAGTGACGTCTCATGCTCATGATTCTTTCGGTAAAGTCACGTAGAATGGAAACAAAATAATAAAAATAATAATAAAAATTCCCACGAAGTTTTGGCCACAACACAAGTAGCCTTCCTCAGGTGAAGAAACAGAACTGTCGGGAAGACAGCGCTTCAGTGAACACTGCCAGGCTTGGCAGCGTCTTTTAAGCTGGGTGGGAGAAGGAGAGCGCCTTGACAAAGGAGTTTACATATCAACAGTAGCTGTGTTAATGTGTTAGATTAGTAGTAGATTAGTAGGATGTTAAAGTCAGAAATTAGCATGTAACTGGGGGATTAGCATGATGTTAGTGTGAGGGATTAGCACCACGGAGAGCTACGAGCTTTGTTCAGACGAACGAGTCCATCTATGTTCGGAACGGAGGAGGGGGGAGTTAACGTGTGGGATTAGCATGGATGTTAAAGTCAGAAATTAGCATGCTAATCCCCCAGTTACATGCTACTTTCTGACTTTAACATCCTGCTAATCCAACACATTAACAAAGCAACTTTTGATATGTAAACTCCTTTGTCAAGGCGCTCTGCTTCTCCCACCCAGCTTAAAAGACGCTGCCAAGCCTGGCACTGAAGAGCTGTCTTCCCGACAGTTCTGTTTCTTCATCTAAGGAAGGCTACTTGTGATGTGGCCGAAACGTCGTGAGAATGTTTTATTTTTGTTTTTTTTATTTTCATTCTACGTGACTTTACCGAAAGAACCAAGAAGATGAATCTCTGCAGTCACGAAAGCTTTAAATCGAAATGCTCACGATTCTTAATGAGGGAGGGGGGGGGGGTCCATGTGGAGGACGTAACCTGTTCATGATTATTGAGGGGGGCTGTTCGATGTGGAGTGACGTCACTTGTTCATGATTACGAGTGGGGGGGGGGGAGTACTCCATCTTGAGTGACGTCACCTACTCATGATTACGAATGAGGGGTGGGGGTGTGTCCATTTGGAGGACGTCACCTTCTCATGAATATTAATGAGGGGGGCTAGTCGATGTGGAGTGACGTCACGAACGTTAAGGCCATACATTCCTGGGTGATTACAGTAGATATATAACAACCGCCATTCGCCCCTAAGTGGCGGTGACGTCACCACGACGCTTGTGCCAGGCCATGTGCACCTCGAGGCCACGTGCAGTGTCGAACGCCCGCTGGCAGGAGGTCACGGGGCAGACCCAGGTGCCACGGGTCGACTGAGATGACTGGCTGATGCACCACCTGTGCCCCCTACTGTGCCAACCTGCTGTGCCCTAGCCACCCGGCGCTCCGCTCGTTGTTGTGAGCGTCGCTCCTCCGCCCTCCATTGTTGTTGGAGGGCGACTACCTCGAACTGCCCAGTAGCGTCCTTCACGAGCCTCCTCCACAGAGGCCGATTTTGACACCGCTGGTACCAGTCATCGGCAAGTCCACTCAGCTCCACGTCCTCCTGTACCACATCACTCCTCTTCTCTAGCCCGTGCGGCGCCCGTTTAGCCCCCTCGATCCGGCCGAACAAAAGCCGTTTCGGCATGCGGTGGCTGGGCATGCGGGCTACACGACCCAGCCATCGCAGCCATGCCTGCCGGAGGAGCTCACCGATGGGACCTTGCCCAGACCTTTCAAGGATTTGTGAGCTCCTCACACAATCCAGTCTGGTTAAACCCAGGATGGATCGTAGGCAGGCCTGTCTAAATGTTTCTAACCGGCGAAGATGTTCCATTAGGGGGGGGGTCCACGTTTCGCAAGCGTAGAGAAGGGAGGGAATGACCGTGGCCGAGAAGACCCGAAGCTTCGTGTGGCGTGACAGACCAGGTAGCTTCCACACAGCGTTACGCAACCAATGAAAATATATTGCCGCTCGACTGATTCGGAGTGAGACCTCTGCTATTAAACTGGAGCCAGTCATAAGCACACTCCCCAGGTATGGGAAACGCTCTAATCTCTCCACAACTGCCCCATCACCGATTGGGAGTTGTGGGGTTGGAGTGTCCCATGGTACAAAATAACCAGGTAGGTGCTTAGTTTTGGTGGGGTTGATGGTAAGGCCCCATCTCTTAGTGGCACGCTCCAGCCTCAGCAGCAGCATCTCCAACTCCTCTGAATGAGCAGCTATTACCAAATAATCGGCTTACATAACGTGGTTGAGCAATAGGGAGCCATCCCTTGACCGCACCCGGGCATCGATCAGCCTCCCATTATATCTGTACCATATGGAGATTCCCCCGGTACAGCTATTGAAGGCTTCATGAACTACGTGGTCAAAATAGATGTTAAATAATGTGGGAGCAAGAGGACATCCCTGTCGCACCCCAAGGTATACAGGGAATGGCTCGGACTCCTGGCCACGTAGTTTTATCCGGGCTCACCATCATGAAGGTCCTTAATGATCGTGAGCAAAGGGTCAGGTACTCCAAAAGCACGAAGAACAAACCATAGCCCAGGCCTACTGATGGTATCATAGGCCTTGACCAGGTCAATAAAGCAGAGATGTAGGTCTTGCTGGAATTCCCTACATCTCTGCTGTAGCAGACGGACAGAAAATATGGCATCTGTGCAGGACCACCCTTTCCTGAAACCGCATTGGGGCTCCGCAAGACTCTTCTCAGCGTGCCTGGCAAGGCGATGTTGAATAATCCTTGCCAGGACCTCCCGGCACACGTGGTGTATTCCGCAAATATGCCCGACTATGAGGGCAGGCACAAGTCGGCGTGAGTAGGTTAAACGTTGAGTTTTATAAGGGCACCACGGGGTGACCAGCCCCTCCCCACCCAGCCCCTCCCATTTTTGTATGCACGACGGACGGTCACAATGATCCCCTGTGGGCTAGTGTCACCAGGAGGTTCCTACCAGTATTAACGATATACATTTCAGATTATTTATTTATTTGGTATAGCCCTGTGAGCAATTTGCCCCTTGAAATCGGGTGCAACCGCAACAAACAAAAAAAGAAAAAACGAACAAGAAAACATCTTCAAGTGACTGTGCAAACAGAAAATCCAGTAAACAGCAAAATATTCTTGAAAAAGCACTGTACACCAACGCTGTGTGCAAAAATCCCAGTGGGATGCAAGT